TTTTTAAAACTAATTTCATGTGATGTATGCTTTAAAAAAAAATAAAATAAATCGAAAGCAACTGAAAGAAATCTCACTCGTATGAATTAATTTACCTCCAGCTCTTGGGGTGGATTAATTTTTTGATTAGTACTAAAAGTTATTAGTTTTATGTGTGTTAGGTAACTCTTTGTTACTCATCTTTTTAAGGTAAATATGAACTCGCAATAAGATGTAAATGCAAATACTGTTATTAACATGGATGCTGATAATTTGATAATTTCTTGTGTTCTGTGAATTGTTTGTGGAACATGAACGGAGTATATACAGCCATGCAATCACATTCCATGGAGCAAATATAAAGTAATTAAACTTTAAATTTACAACAAAAAGCAGATGTTGCTTAAAAGCATTCTTATGAAACATCATCAAAGAGTGGGAAAGGTCTAACTGTTTATTTATTAGCTTTGAAATTAGTCAATTGCTGAAGGGGTGTTAATCAAGTGAAGTAACATCTTGCTCCCATAACTATAGTAATGTAAGACCATATCTTTAAATCACTGCAGATGTTCATTTTCAAATGAAGACAATTTTACAAGAGATTGATCAAAAGAAAAAATAAAATGCATCAACTTTTAATAATATGATTGAATATGACATTGCTATAAATTTGCACAAACATTTGAGAGAGATCGATGATATTCACAAAATTTCAAATCGGGAGGTAAAAAGGATGAGATGACATGAGAATTACTCTATAAGTTTATGAAATATTCTACTGAATGTCATAAATTCATTATATTTTTTCCAACAATTAATAGAATAGCCACCGTAGCCAATGGTACACTGGATCAATTCATGCACTAACATTTGCTTTACTTGCAGCAGCCATAAAGCAATTTTAGTTATTAATCAATGCAAGTCAGGACAAAAAATGCTGTTTAAGAGCTTTCGTACAACCGCTTTTTTGGTTAAGTTTTATTTTCCTATATGATCCAAAAAATCATACTTAAAGTTATGAGGTGATGTGAAAGTACTTTTTTGAAACCAGAAAATCATACTTACAGTTATGAGGTGACGTGAAAGTACTTTTTGAAATTATTGAGATTCATTTCCCAGGTGTAAATAAGTTGATAGAAGAAAGTTAGTACATTTTGATACGCTTAAAAAGTCATCGTAGAAAGACATTAGTTTTGAAGAATTCTAGAATTATCCAACCTCGTAAATGTTATTCTATTAATTAAGTATTTTATGTAAATGGTCAAGGTATTTGATTTTGATGTATCAAATTTTTAAAAGTTATTTTAATTAAAATGTGTTAAATTTGATGATTTTAATGAATGCATAAATATTATTGTGGTGTAGAACTTAAGACAAAAATTTGTAAATATTGAGTATTTTTTTCTTAGATTTTTGAAATTTTTTATATATTTTAAATATTATTTACAATATATGAATATATTTATATAATTTTAAATATAATTATAAACACACCAATAAAAATAAAGATAAACTAATTAAATCGGTTGAACTGATAATAAGTAATAGCACCGGTGTTGTCACCGATCTGGTTTGCATGCAAGGAAAACGTAGGTATTTTAAGGTGGACTTGGGATAACCGTCTTTATGACACGTTATTCCATTGTTATTTCATCCAACTCCCTCTTGAACTTCTCTATCGCTGGCCTTGGCAAGTGGAGTGTTACAACACGCCCATCTGCTCCACTACCGTCCTTGTACCGCCCGTAGAAACAAATCAGCCCCACGCTCGCCGCGGGGCCACCATACTCAGGCTTCCCCCACCCAAAATCCAAACCGTCAAACCCAAGCCGGGAGGTGTCCGATACCATAAAGTTCCCTGCTGTCGTGTACATAGGCCTCCCTTTCGTCGCCATAAGATCCGCCACCGACTGTATATACTGTTCGCTCATCTGGGACTTCACTGCCTTCATGAGCCTCATTGCGTAATCCAGCGGCTCTGTCACCAGCGTGGCAGCCCTTGCCACCACAGCTGGGCAGACGATCGCGTTGCCGTAGTACCCATCAGGTATGTGCAGCTTTCCTTGAAGGTTGATGTAGCCCGAGAGCTGAAAGTCTCGTCCGGGTCAATCCCGAGGGCCTGAGTTCGAGTTTTCCACAAGCAAGCGGTAACTGCCTCAAACGGGGTGCACTTCTTGGAAAGTTGCCTCTAAATGGCTCTAATCTCTTTTGGGCCAAGAAAAGGATACATAGGCCAAGTCCTGGAGACGGTGGCTCGGTTGGTAAGATAAGTTTAAATAATAATTACAACTAAATATGAGTTATACAAACTATTAATAATTTCGGTAGCTAACATCATTTGAGAAGATAAATGACAAAATTAATTTAGCTATTAAATAGTGAAGTGGTACTATATTAAAATATTTCTAACAATTTTTTGAATTTTTTTTAATTAGTACAGAGTCAACAACTTCACTTTTTCAAGGAGTTAGTTAAGCTTGACTTTTTCTAAGAAAAAAAAAACGCAACGAACGCGGACGAAGTATCACTGACACTACCTGGCAGTGACCGAGCTGGTTACGCCAGCCCGTTGCTCGTACTCCTGGTGAAAGCACGTGACACGGGAGGCCGTCTCGCAGAGTGGACTTCTCTCTGCCACACTGGTGGCACAGAGGGCAACACCGCCGCCTCTGCCCCGCCACCTCGAGAAAACTCCGCCACCGTGTTCAGAAACTGGGCGAGCCCAGCACCATCGCTCATGGTATGGTTCAGCCTCACGGCAACAACAAACTTGGTCACCTGAAATAAGAGGAGTGGGCACCCGATGATCCCTTCCGACCCAGGAACGTTGTGGAGGAGCTCTGCCAGTAAGGTCTCTTCCCGGCTCAACCTCGAGGCAGCGGAGCTCGACGTCGGCGTCGGCCTCAGTGAAGAGGGCTCCCTCGCCGGTGCAGTTGATGGAGAGTTTTCCATTGGGCCCTTCGACCAGTCTTCCGGCGAACGGGTAGTAGAAGACGAGTGCTTGGACAGGGCTTGTTGGATAGGTGGGCCGGGTCCTTGGATTGCATGGAAGGATTGGGGTGGTAGAAGAAGAACGTGGGGAATTGAAAGCGGAGACCTTCTTGGTCGTCGATGTCGGAGAGTTCTTTTAGTTCGTGGGGTGTTGGTTTTGTCGGACGAGCTAGAATTGGCTGTCGTCGTCTCACTTTGAAAGATAGAACGGTAGATGCACACAGAGATGCCATTTCAGGTGAACTATTACTACGAGGGAATTTAGTACGAGCAAGACTGAGGAGTTTGCGAGGTATTTATGAAGTTTTCTTTGTAAAAATTCTAAATTTTCTTTTTTCCTAAAAAAAGACACTACTAGCATATGAATTATTATCAAGAATGTACGAGGCCAAAACTCAACTTGGTCCTTTATACTATAGTACACTGGTCTGGGGACCCAATTGAACCAAAAATTGGATTCCCAAACACAAAATATATATATTAGTTGTCTTTGTATTTGAAAATCTAATTACATTAAATAATCCTCTTATTTATGATACGAGCGATCACAATTTATTTTTTTTATGAAATTATACTGTATTAATTATTTTAATTTTTTTAGTACTAAAATCAACGTCATACTTTTTGATACTAATACCATTATTTCAATTTTGTTCGATTTCAATATGGTTTTACAAATTTTTAAATCATATTAAAGTATTTAAGTAAAGTAATAAAATTTTTACCAAATTACACAAAAAAAAAATTTAGTATATAACCAATATGAAAAAAATAAATTATTTCAAGGTTACATAATGTTAATAATTTTCTATATTTAAGGATTTAATTTCAAAACTTTCATTAATAATTATTTATAACTTATATTCTCGATTCCATAATGTATTAAAAACAAATTAAAAATTATATAAAAATAAATAAAAAATTTTATTTTATTTAATCAAATTTGACGTGAATCAATTTAATTAAAAACCTGTCATCATTAAAAGATTTAATTAACTTACATATAATATAAATATTTTAATTAATGACTTATAATTCAATTATTTAGAAGTTTAATAATTTTATATATAATATAAATAATTTAATAAATTATTATGTATAACATATTGGTACGGTATAGTTTAAATTTTAATTTTATTTTTCTTTAAATATGTATTCATTATTATACACTTATTTTTTTTATTGATAGTTGAGATATAAAATTCAATAATTTTTATTTTAAAAATTAAAATTTAATTCTTAAATATTTATATTTATTTGGTAATGGTAATTTTTTTTTAAACTTAACGTTTTTCATTAAAAAAAAATCCAGTACTTTGTTCAAATTTTTTTACATGTATTTTTCTTCATTCAATTTTTTTTCTAGAACTACTTTTTAGATTTGTTAAATGAATATTTTTATTTATTTACAATGAAAAAGTGTATTTAAGAAGTTCTTTTTATATTAGTTAGGACTTCCTATGTATTAAGTAATTTATGAAATTTAAATTTGGTGATAATTAGTAAGTGACTACATTGTAACATAAATTTGATAATAAAAGAAAAAATAAAAAAATAATGACCTCATTCTCTAATAGATGTACGTAAATTAACAAATTAGTTGTCATAACATAAGTTATGTATTAGAATCATTTTTACACTTTAATCTATAATATTTATACTTTTTTAATAGAAGTCCTTAAGCTCTTAATTTCTTTAATTTACTACTGAATTATATTTAATACTTAGGAATTTAACCATTTCGTATATGATATGAATAATTTAATAAATTATTATATATAATATTTGGTTTGATATGGTTTTTTGTCGATTTTGAATTTATAAAATCAAAACTGTACCAAAATATTTAATATGGTATTATCTAATACCAAATCCTATAAATTTTTTTGAAAAAAACCTAACTTTTGGTATGATTCAATTTGGTACGGGTTTAAGAATCATGAACACCCCTAATTTATGATCTATATTTCTTGCTTCACCATTAGGGCTTCCACTTTTGGCATCTGTAACATTTATTTTGCTTTGCTAATGAATGACTGTCAACTTTCAGAATTTTTGAAATAATTTTTTTGCTTATAATATTTTATTACATTCACGTTTACCTTTAATTATAATTAAAAAATTCATGCCCCAAAATTCGCATAACCGGATTTGTTGATCTAGTTCTAGGTTCTAATAGTCAGAAATAGAAATTAATAAAATTTATTAAGTTTGAATTAATATAATTTGATTAAGTGATTCCCACCACGAAGATCCAACGACAGAGTCGTGTTCATCTGGTTAAGAATGTTGGTCCATCTGTGCTATATTGGGATTACTCCCTCAGGAGGCATTTGCAAAAACTTTTTTTAAAGTGATTCTCTACTTTTCAATTATTGAAAAGTGCTTTGAAGTATTTACAAACTTGTTTCTGGCTTATGATTCTCTAAAAAAAAAGAATGCTTCAAACAGGGCAGAATTTGAAGACAGGAGGGGTTACTTTCAGCTTTTGATGACAATATTGTAAATAAAGAGAAGTTATTTTGAAGATTGATTTATCATTTTTGTCCTCAAATTTTTGTCAATATCCCAAAATTACCTTTGTCCCCTATAGCTTTTGTTGCTTTAAGAGCTTCAGAAGAGAAAAGAAACCATTTATCGGGAATCATCTGCGAAGAAGAGAGGAAAGGAGAGGCCTCTAGAGCAAGGGCTCTCTTTGGGAATCGTCTACCTTCGCCAATCACGATGGGAAGAGGAGGGGCAAAATCAGAAGACATGAATGGCAGAAAAAAGACTGAGGGCCTATCAGGACAGGAAGAGGAGAGGCAACTATTCTCCAAGAATCATTTGCTTTTGCCAACCATGACAGGAATTGGATCCACTTACAGTCGCAACCCTTTTGGCTATCTTAGAGATCTCGTTATTGGAGATCACATGACAATGCTTGGAGATTTGGTCTCGCTAGAGCAACAAGAAGACGATAATTGGAGTCTTCTTAGAGTAGCTTCTTGGTTAGAGTTGTTTATGGGTTTTCTAACTGGTTTTCTATACATAGGACTCAAGAGGAAGATGAAGTAAAAATGAAAAAAAAAAAAGAAAGAAAGAAAGAAAAAATGGGGTTATAATGGTCAATTTGTTTTAAAAATTTCTCCGCAATCATTTTACAAAAACTTATCACCCAAACTTATCATTTTACAATCATTTTACTCATCTTGTTAAGAATGTTGGCCCGTCTATATACTAAATTGGGATTACCCTCTAAGAAGGTGTTTGCAAAAACTTTTTTGAAGTAATTCTCTACTTTTCAATTATTGAAAAGTGTTTTGAAGTGTTTGCAAACTTGTTTTTGGCTTATGATTCTCTAAAAAAAAAAAACTCCAAGCAGTGCAAAATTTGATACTAGGAAAAGGGTTACTTTCAGCTTTTGATGGCAATATTGTAAATAAAGATAAGCTATTTTGAAGATTGATTTACCGTTTTTGTCCTTAAAATTTTGTCAATATCCCAAAATTACCCTTGTTCTCTATAGGTTTTGTTGCTTCAATAGCTTCTGAAGAGAAAAGAAACTGTCTATCAAGAATCATATGCGGAGAAGAGAGGAAAGCATAGCAGAGCAAAGCAAGGGCTTTCTCTAGGAATCATCTGTCTCCACCAACCATGATGGGAAGAGGAGAGAAAAAATCGAAAGATAGGAATGGTAAAGAATAGACCGAGTGCCGACCATAAGAAGAAGAGAAGAGGCAATGATTCTCCGGGAATCATCTGCCTTTGCTGACCATGACAAGAATCGAATCCACCTACAATCACAACCCCCTTAGCTACCTCAAAGACCTTGTTATTGGAGATTACAAAGATGATGCTTGGAGATCTGGTCTCGCTAGAATGACACAAAGACAATGATTGGAGTCTCCTTGGAGTAGCTTCTTGGTCTCACCAAAGTTGCTTACGGGTTTTCTAGCTGGTTTTCTATACATAGGACTTAAGAGAGAGA